GAGAGAGAGAGAGAGAGAGAGAGAGAGAGAGAGAGAGAGAGAGAGAGAGAGAGAGAGACTATTTCAATATATTGGTTTTCTTTGTAATCTTATGTATTTGATTTTATGCACTTAACATCTATAGTTATCACCAGACTTGGAAAAGGGGTCCATAATACCCAAAACGGTCAAGAACTCTTTATTTAGCTGGAATGATGAAATCACATGTCTGGAAAAAATGTTAGAGTTAAAAATGGCATAATGGCAAATGCTTTAGCTGGAAAGAACCCTAAGCAAATTCATGTATTAGGGTTTGATTTCTAATTCTCTTGTGAAGGCCAACCATCTGCCAACCTAAGTCGCCATATATTGATGATAGATATCAGTATATGAAAATCTTAGTAAGGCTCAAAATGCAAATGTGAAATGTTAACAGACCCATGAAGGTAAATGCCCATTAAATCTCTTCTCCCAAGTCTGGTAACTATAGCTTCTCAAAGGCTGTACCTAGGTAGCACAAGCTTAGGTAGGTCCTACCAAAGTGGAAAGGTCTTTGGTACTGGCTGGGTAATGAACTGGGTGTGTCTGTTCTTTATGAATTGGTCTAACTAAATATAGAGAGACTAGTCACCAGAGAGCTGGTCACCACTCACAAAGACTTTCTAGTAATGTATAGAGGTAGAATGTAAGTTTCTTGAGGCCAGGGGCGATTTCATTTTTTTGTATCTTTGTAATTCCAGTATATAACACAGTATCTTGCACGTAGTAGGCCCACAGCCTAGAATTCGATTGTATACTGTGTCTATAAAACAACTCACAAGTCCTTGAAATGTTGAAGCATTCATTACTTGAGGACACTAAGAGACACTAATGTGTATTATAAAGATAGAACATTTTATTCAAGTAAATTAGTAATTATAGTTGACAACAGATATGTGACCAACACTCCCAATTAATGAATTTGCTTATTTGTTTTCTCTTTTGGACATATGGCTACGTAGGGCTTTAATCTTTCTACATTCATTCATTCATTCAGTGATAATAGTGATAGGTAACATTTATACATAGTGCTTTAAATTTGTGAAGTACTTTACATATGTTATCTTATTTGATCTTAAGAAAAACTCATGGGGTATTTAGGTACCATTATTACCCTCATTTTACACATGAGGAAACTGAGGCTGAGAGAGGGTAAGAGAAAGCAAGCATGACTTAACTAAGCATGAGTAAAATTAGAACATGGCTAGGGATGAATGTCTTTATAATGAAGGCAGAGAAAAATTTGGTATGTCTATTTAAAGACTATCTCAGCTTACTCTCTTGCTAAATGAGCTATGAATAAAATGTTATGGTACTTGAGAGGAATGGCGGTTGGTTCCGTTTCAGCTGGGTAGATAGGTACACTTCATAGAAGAGGTGGTACCTGGACTTGGCCTAAAGGATGGGTAGGATTTTGATAGGTGTATAACTAAGGAGGGATGCCATTATAGAAAGAGGGAATGGTGTTAGCATATAAATGGAAAAGAATGGGTCTATCCAAGAAAAGAAATAATCCAATTTTGGTAGTTGCATACATTACTATGTTAGCATAATGCTATATAAGATTGAAAAAATAGGTTGGGACAAGATAGTTGAATATCCTTGAACATCAGGCTAAATCAAAGGATTGTGGATTTTATTCTACAGGGAACTATTAAGGTTTTTGAACAGGGAAATGATTTAACCAAAGGCATACTTTAGGAAAGTCAGTGGTGTAGGGGATGGATTGGAAGTGGAAAGAATGGTGAGTCTACATTGCAGCAAGAAGGGTGGAAAAGCAGTGAAAGAAATGGAGGAGTGGTTCTAGGCTAGATTCAGAGGCAGAGGCAGGATAATGATGTAGAGGCAGCATGATAAAAGGAGCACTTAACTTAGAGTCATAGGACCTGAGTTCAAATCCCCACTCTCCACTTACCACTTGTATGACTTTGGACAAAATCATTTAACTTCTCTGGACCTCAGTTTCCTTATCTGTAAAATGAGGGAAGTTCAACTAGATGATTTCTAAGGACTCTTCCAACTCTAAATTTATCATCATATGAATGACTCTTAGCTGAAAGTGCAAAAATCAGCCGCAACAAGAAACACATCCCAAACTATAGCTGAAAAGTTTCATGAACTTGAATGTATATTTGACATTTTCCACTTATTTTTTATGATTCCTTAAAATAAATCACATATAGATTTTCTTATTACAGTCTATGGAATTTTACCTCAAACAGTGAAGTTGTGGTTGGGGTGTGTGTGTGTGTGTGTGTGTGTGTGTGTGTGTGTGTGTGTAATAAGAGAGGGAGAAAATCCTTGAGAGAGGTGAAATTCAGTTTGACCTACACTGCTTACCGGACAGGGGGACAATATGACAGTACCAGAGGTCACAGCCAAACTGCTAACCCAGTCACAAGAACAGCCTGCTGGATAGCCAGCTGCTGTTCCTGGACAAGGAACCATTTCTGCCTGGGTTTCCTGGGGATTCTTGCCTCTAAAAAGAGAAAGTGTACTCTCTCTCTCTCTCTCTCTCTCTCTCTCTCTCTCTCTCTCTCTCTCTGTGACTATGAAAAAAGGCCTTCTTTTCCCCCAGTCAGGATGAGGAATGTGCACACTTTTCAGCCACAAGAAATGCTACTGCATTTATGAGATTGGAAGCTACAGGCTTTTCTTTTATTGGTATTTGATTCAGCTTCCTTTTGGGCAAGGGCTCTTCCTCAGTTAATCCATACACAGAATAAAAATTGGTTTTCAGGATATTAGGATGTTACATTTGGCTCCTGCATCAAAAGAGAGTGTGGTACAGTGGGAAGAATCCTGGTTTTGAAGCCAGAATACCTGGGTTTGGGTCTAGCCTCTGGTGATAGGTATGTGACTGTGGGCCAGTTGTTTCACCTCAGTTTCCTCATCTGTAAACTACAGGTAATATAGCTGGGTGCTGCATTTGGAGTCAGAAAAACCTGATTGGAAATCTGGCTTCAGATACTTATTAGCCATGTAAGCCTTGGTAAGTCATTTAACCTCTCTTTGCCTTAGTTTCCTCATCTGTAAAAATGGGAATAACGTCTCCCTCACAGGGTTATTGTGAGGATAAAATGAGACAATATTTGTAAAGTGCTTTGCAAACCTTAAAGTGCTATGTAAGTGTTAGCTATTATCGTTATTACTATTATTACCTGAATTAGTTACTGCAAAGAGTTGTTGTAACGAAAGCAGTTATAGATATATGAGGTATATTAACAGCAGAAGATTTTATTCAATAAAAAGTAATTTTATTAAACAGTTAAGATATAATTATTGGCAATTTAACATTATCAAAACTTGGAGAAGCCTAAGAGACCATCTACTCCAACCCCTTTATTTTACAAATAAGGAAACTGAGGCTCACTGAATCAGATAAAATACTGAAATGTTTAATTGAATATGCTCAGGTATGTACTTTCAATAGTGGATGTTAACTTGCTGACTGCTTTTGGTCATGCTGTGAGGGTGTGTGTGTGGATGGGGGGGCGTTGTGTGGTGGGAGTTCTGGGCCTCTAAGAAGGAGGGATAGCTAGTACAGTGGATATACAATGATCTTGGCAGGCTAGAAGAATAGACCAAATCATCTAGGAAGTTCAAATTTAGTAGTGATAAATGAGAAATTTCCCTTTAACTGTTAAGTTTAGCCTTGGTTTAAAAAAATCAGTCTCACAAGTATAAGATAGGGAAATCATGGTCAGACAGCACTTCATAATCAAAAAAAAAAAAAAAGATTTGGGTGTCTCAGTAGACCTTCAGCTCAGTATAAGTCAGCAGTATCATAAGGCAGCCAAGACAGCTAATCTGACCTTGGATTCCACAGTGTCCAACAGTAAGGAGGTAATAATCCTATTATACTCTGGTAGGACCACATCAATAGTATTTTGTTCTGTTCTGGGCATGAAAATGATGAGCTGGATACTCTTCTCTATAAGAAGGGTAACTCACAAAGATGAAATACCTTGAGTTTATGCCATTTGCATATGTGCTGAAGGAACTGGACATGTTGAGCCTGCAGAAAAGAAGATTTAGGGGAGATAGAGCTATCTTCAAGGATTATAAGGCTTGGCTGCCATGTTGAAAAGGTATTGGAATTGTGCTGCCTTGGGACCCAGTGGGACGTTGAAGGGGCTAACTCCGGAGGTAGTGGGTTCCCTTTCACCAGAGATCTTCAAGCACAGGTGCATTGTAGAGGATTCAGGACTTGTGCAGGTATAGTTTGGAGTAAATAATAATAGTAATAATAGCTGACATTTCCATAGTGCCTTCTATGTGCAAGATACTACTATGCCAAGTATTTGACAAATAATAACTCATTTGATCTTCACCTCAACATCTCTGAGAGGTAGATGCTATTATTATTCCAATTTTATAGATGAAGAAACTGAGGGAAACAAAGGCTGTGATTTACCAAATGTCACACAGCTGATAAGTGTCTGAGGTTGGATTTGAACTCTTCAGGTCTTTCTGACTCTACGTCCAGCACACTATCCACTATGCTACCTAGGTGACTACTGAGTTCCCTGCCAAACATGAGATTCTGTAATTCTGCTCAAAAATCTCTCTCAAGTACGATTCTACCAACTTTGATTTTTTTTCATCATCATGAATCTTTTTTGAAATTCAAAATCTCCTAGGCAGGGTTGGTCTGCTGGATCACACCTCAATGTGAATTTTTTTTAATCATGCCTTTTGTTCTTAACATCTAGCTTAAAAATCCCAGCACTGAGGTAATTTAAGCTGTGATGGAGGAAAAGGTTAATATTGGTACATAGGGCAGAAGTCTTTAGACAGCCAGAGGGAAGCATAACAAAATTAACAAATCAGTGCATGCATTTATTAAGTGCCTACTATGTGTTAGGCACTGTGTTAAGTGCTGAAGATACAAAGACAAAAATGAAAGTTTCAGTTAGGTAATTTACTGGGTGCCTATGGGCATGGGAGAGAGGATGCCAGGAAACTAGACAAATCTCACCTAAGTTGAACTTTGCAGTTTTATTTGAAGACTTGGGACAAATGTTCAACCTACCACTGAAAATCATCTCACTTGCCTGGATTCTGTAAATGTAGGATCTAGTGACCTCATCAATGCCACCTGTTTTGTGACCTTAGGGAAGCCTTTCACATCTTGGTGCTACAGCAACTTCACCTGTCAAAATACGATAGTAAAACCTATCTTCTATTTACCTCGCAGGGAAATTTGGGGGATCAAAAGAGATGGTAAGCAAGCATGGAAGCATTTGTATGAAAAAGTCCCGGGTGAACAGAAGATTGTAGTAGCACCATTAACCACTGTTTCAAAAGCATTAACACCCTGAGGTTGAATGGCAAACAACTTTATAAAAGATACTTGAAGAAAATTTCCTTTGAGAATAGTGTTTTAAACCATTCCTCCAACATTTATAGAATTTTAGGCAATTTATGGACTATGGTCTAGAAGGGATCCTTAAGGATCATCTAATTTGGCCTCATGAGAAAACCATGGTGCAGAGAAATGAAGGGACTTGATGAAGATCACACAATTTGTTGGTGGTAGAGCTGAGACTACAACCTAGTGGGGTCTCCTTATTTTTTTCTATTACATTAACTTTAATAATGTAGCTTTATATATCTTTTATAATTGATAGATTACTTTTTTTCACAACAATTCTCTTTGTTAAGTAGTGGAAGCATTATTATCATCATTTTCCAAATCAATTAATGAATCAAAATGCATTTAGTGTCTAGTCTGTATTATGTATTTTGGTAGGCGTTAGCGATAAAAAGACAAAAATGAAACAGACCTTTCTCTCAAAAAATTAATTCTCCAGGGCACACAATACCTATACATATAAGTAATTGAAATGCACAATAATTTTTTGGGGGACGGTGGGGTGCCACCAGCACCTGAAGGGATGGGGGGAAATAATCATGCAAGAAGGCAGAACTCAAGCTCCATTTGAAGTTAAGTTTGGAATCCTGAGAGGGAGAAGTGAAAATGAAATGTGTTCCAGACATAAGGGACAACTTGTGCAAAGGTATGGGGATGGGAAATAGATTGTCATATTTGAGGAACAGCAGGTAGGTGGGCTTGGACAGAATGGAGAGTGTATGAAGGGGAGAAATGTTTAATAAGCCTGAAAAAAGGTAAACTGGAGCCAGATTATGAGGGGCTTTAAATATTAAACAGAAGTCTTTGCATTTTATCCTAGAGGCAATAGGCACCCAGTGGAATTTCTTCAGCATAGGAGTAACTTGGTCAGTCAGACCTGTGCTTTAACAAACTGAGGCTCAGAGCACTTACATGACTTATCCATGGTTACCCATTGCCTCAAAGAGCCTGAATTTGAATCTGGGTCTTTTGACTCCAGCTCCAAAGATTTTTCTATTATCTTGAGCTGCCTCACTAACTGTTTTTCATTGATAAATGATCCTTATCAGTTCCTAAGAGAGCTAACCACTTAGGAGCAACTGGTTTTTAGTGATTTTAAGGGAATCCTTGTTTTAAGCCCCACATCTATCATTGAAGAAATTTAATACCTTAAAACTCGATCTGACGCCTGGTTGGATTTTGACACATCACAGCTCTGATGTTTTTCTTGAGCTTTTGCCAGTTTTTCCGCTGCAGCAATAGGGCATCCAGAGAGGCTACAATTATAGAAAGGGGATTTAATTGTTTTGTTTCAGTTTCACAACATACCAATCCAATTGCCACCTTCCACCTTCTCCTGGGCCAGTCCCACGGGGTGCTGACTGAAATGTGAAAGAAATGTCCAGGTGGTCAAAGATGTTTCTTCCCTCTAGAGCTTGACTTAGGGAGGGAGGTTATATATTTCTTGCTTGCTCATTTGTTAGTGAAATGGTTAACACTGCTGATTTTGTTTCTAATCTATGAGATTGCTGCTCACATGTGTGAACATTTAATAAGTAGATATTATTGGAGGGCAAAGATGACCTCAATGCATCTGAATTGGATGTGTCCAAAAAACATTTTTCTTCCTAATCGAGATAACATGAAATGAAGTTAAAATAGAATTTTTAATTCCAATTCTATTCCATGATACTCAACAATTTTGGAAATGAGACCATAACAGGGGCTCTTCGGGAACAAATTTCCAAGTTTCCCAAGTGTGGAAACAAATGAGCTGGTACCAGCAGATGGAGCTCTTAGTTGAAATTGTAAAAATCTGTCAGCTGGTACTAGAAACAATTCTTTTGCTTGTCATCATAGTCTGTTGTATGCGTTTCTGGCCAAATCTCTTTAGAGATTCCATTCCAGATGAATGGAAATAAAAGTGGTGGGGGGATATGAGATTGACGTTCAGTTGCCACCAAGCCTCGATAATTAGAGGCACCTTGTTTGCATGACTGGCATTTTGGGTCTTAAAATGTGTCCTCTTCATTTGAGCTCATTCTGTGTGATATTTGGGTGCCTGAGTTATATGCTGAAACTTTTTAGGTATGTTATCATGCTATGCAAATATGAAGGAAAGGATATTGTCAGCCTCACCACGTGAACTTTAAATACAAGAGCTACACTGCACATTGACATGAGAACATGGGAGGGGACACTGGCAAGGACCTAGACATGGTCAAATCCAACCCTCTCATTTATGGTTAGGATCTTGCCCAGCATCACACGGGTAGCAAATGAAGGAGCTGGAGTTGAATTTAGGTCCTTTGCAGTCAAATGCTGTGTTCTTTCACTCAGCCTCTCTAGGTTTCTGCTTCAGAAATATTTATTTTGGCAAACCTCTGATAGTCTGGGTTCTGGGTTATATAAACTCAGGCCACATAACCAAAGCAATACAGATGGGCAAACACAAATGAAAGCAAAGAAAAACTTTTAGCAGGACTCTTCATTTATGAAAAGCTCATAATCCTGTGTGATATCAGGGAAATCTGGGACCATTCATTAGTGGGAAATTCTTCTAGGGTCTGCTTAGCCTCTGATATAAAGGCAGTTTACATAAAGTGGTTGTTAGGAATGATTTAGAAATACATAGAAAGTCTGACTAGGACAAGAAACAAAACCAGAATTTGTGTAGGAGAAAAATGTTGAACTTGTTTTAAGTTTTGTTTTGTTTTGAAATAAGGCTCCAGGAAAAAATGCTGGGTTTTTTGGCATTCATTAACTGAACCTCTTCATGAATTAGTATTTCTATACATTTATAGGACAGTGATAAATTATGTACAGAATAATGATCTTGAAGGTCTGAGGATAATGAAATGCTTTCTGAATCATACAACAAAGATTGCATTATGTTTGGTATGATTTTGTGTATTTTATTATATGTTAAATATTTTGAAAACTAGAAATATAGGCATTAAATATGGCAACTGTCCACTAACCAGAAACTCTTTCCTCACACCAGGCTGTTTGAGACAATACAACAATTCAATACAAGTAACATTTATTAAGCACCTACTGTTTGTGGAGACTTGTATTCTTTACTGCAGGTGATACATAGTTTAGATAAAACATGACCACTGCTCTCAAGGAGCTTACGCTCTAAGAGGGGTTGGAACACTGGTTTAACTAACTGGTTTAACTGGTAAATATTCATATAACAGCCTCTCAGGTATGGGTTCTGGCATCAGTTTAATTTCATTCTTTGATAAATCATCCTGAAAATGGAATGAACCGTGCATTCCTCAAAACTCAAGTTTTCATTAACAAATTCCAGGTAGCAAGCTGCCGAAGCTGAGTGGGGGGAGGGAAACTTCAGAAAAATCTCTCAGTGCAGAGGGAGTGAGCTAAAAAGTATCAGATGTCTTCCACGGTGGACAAATGCAAAAGAATTAATCCAGTGGAAAAGAATCCGAATTATACTTGTAAGATAATTGGATCTGAGCTATCAGATGGAACCTGAGGAAGGGATACAGACTACTCAACCCAACCTGCAAAAAGAGGGAACATATGCATTTGTCTTCCCCATGCAATATGGGAACATACTCTTAATTCTTTATAAACAGCACACTAAGGACCATCTGTCACCTTCTGTAAGATGGAGAAGTGCCTTAGGAAGCACGCATCCTTGGAAGGGTTCACCAGGAATGCTGCCATTGGGAAGCTTTTATCCCTTTAACATCAAGTCCCAGAATGCTTTGCTTACCTTCGATGAGAGTTCCTGTTGCTATTTACGTGCCCGCGCCCTGTGCAGCCCGGTGTAGGACACTTGAGAACATTTTCATGCATGGCAAGAACTTGACAAGAAGAGGTAGAGAAAACAGTCAAGTATTAAAACATAGAAACACTTAGAATACAAGAATATGTAATCATTATAGCAAGAGGCTGGGTTAGTTTACAATAGACATTCCTTCAAGTACTGGTGATGGGCATGGTCAGAAAAACACAGGAAGGGAAGAGAGAGAGAATTTCTGATCTCATTCTAATTGGCATGCAGAGCAGAGGAGCACAAGGAGAGTTATGGAGGATAGAGAATGCAATAATTAATTTGTCTGTAGTGTCACAGTGAAGCAAGAGACTACCAATATATTTTTCATACATTAGTACTAAATATTGATTAGCCACAGAACAACATGTAGATTGGTAATATTTCTCAAACATCCTTAGGGTTTTCAATCCCAGCATATTACAAAAGGTTGGGAAATGGGGGAAGGGACAGCAGGAGGACACCTTATTGTATAAATCAAATCAACTTATAATAATGACTTTTTCAGAATTAAATCTTGTTTTGTTCCTTAAATATTATTATGAAGAGCTGAACAAATTATGTGAAAAATCATGTCATCATGTAAAATTAACAAGCAAGAGCTTTAATGATGATAATAAGTTGTTTTTCAAATAGGAAAATGATGTTCTTAACTCTCTATCTGTGTAAGTGGTTTGCTTGATGGAAATGGATTTATATGGATCTATCTACACTCTTTTGCCAATTTTTTATTACTAGCAGAACTCATTTGTTAAAGCACAGGTTGGGTGCAATCTGGTGAGGGCAAAGAGTACAAGAATCTTATTCCTTTGTGAATTGGCCTCATTGGATGATTGAAAAAAATAGCATTTATATAGCACTTTAAAGTTTGCAAAGCAATTTACATACATTATTTCATTTGAGCCTCACAACAACCCTGTGAGGTAGGCACTACTGGTACCATTAATCTTCATTTTACAGATGAGGAAACTGAGGCTCGTGGACTTAACGACTGGTCTATGGTGACAGAGAGGTGGAATTTGAGCCCAAGCTTTCTGACTCCATGTCATTTAGTAGTTGGCTTAAAAAACCAGGACGTTTAAAAATACAGAATAGTATTCTGAAGCCCTTCCTTCAAGTAAAAACATGCTTATGGTATCTACATTTACAATCTGACCAGGACCACTGAAGCACTGATATGGATGTTGGCCTAAATTATCCTATGATTACAACCATTTTCCCCCTTAAATTATCCATATTCAATTCTCCTTTCACATTGTATACCTAGAAGTGATTTGGAGGGCATTCTAAAAGAGTCACAACAGAGATGCATGTCTCATTTTGGTGAAATGATGAAGCAAGCCTGCTTAGAAATGGAAACGGGGGCCAAATCACTTCCAGAAAGGGCTTCCACTGTTAATTTTTTTATATTATGAAGAACCACATATTAGCAAGTGCTCAGCAACAGTTGTATTTTTTAAAAAATTAGTGACCCAGGACAAATAGCATTATTTAACATTCATTAAGCTGGCTAGAGTTGAGCAGGATAGGTTTAAGATACATTTTTAGACTAATGATATCATGTCAGTTTTTTGCTACTTATATTAGATTTCAGGTGTTATCACTTGACCTGTGGTAAAGTGGACTAAATCCACATAATATTGAGCTATTATGCCATGACAGAGTACAAAGTTTACTGTACTTAGAATTTTCTCATGAAGCTTTAAAGTGTGGTGATTTTTTGAGGTTCAGTCAGCAACTTATTTTTTACTTTAGAAACAGGAACTGGACCTGTGATTTAATTAGTTTAGAGAAGTCATGAGAAAACTCCTTCTTTCTCTAACTTTCTTTTATGTGTTGTTTCCCCCCCCCAATTAGAATGTAAGAACTCACTGAAAGGTGTGACTGCCTAATTTTTTTCAATCCCTTCCTTAATACTTAGCACACTGTTTGGAATATAGTGCTTAATCAATGCTTTTTCTTTCATTTATTCATTTGTTCATTCATTCATTCATTCATTCATTCATTCATTCATTCAAATCAATGCCGGTCAGCACCTTCCCAGCAACTTAGTTTTAGAGAGCTGCCCAGAGTACTGTGAAATTAAGTGACTTGGTCACAGTCACACAGACAGTTTATGTTAAGAGGTGGTACTTGAAGGCAGATCTTTCTGTCTTTGAGGCCAACATTCTATCCACTACTTGCTGGTTTTATCTTTTACTTTAAAGGGAAATTAAAAAAATACATGCCCTCAAAGAAAAGTATAGAGAGATTAATTTTTATCTAGAATCATAGAATTCTGGAATTGGAAGGAACCTTGGAAACCATCTAAATAGTCTAGTTACCCTCATGTGGCTTGCTCAAGGTCTCTTATCTACTTAGAAACAGAGCCAGGATCAGAAAGGTGATTGTTTGATCCAAATTCTGCTTTTCATCCAAGTTCATTGCCTGCTGTTTTAGCCCCTTAAAATAATGTTATCTACTCTTCTGACACATAGTTAGGGATGCTCAAAGAATATTAGAGCTGGAACAGACCCTAGAAACCATCTAGTCCAATCACTTCACTTTGCAGAGGGTGATCCAGAGTTCCAGGGTGGGTGACTTGCCCAAGGTCACACAGCTTTCACATAGAGGTGTTAGGACTTGACCACAAGTGTCCTGACACTTGAGTCCCATTATCTTTATGCCCAGGGGCATTCTTAAAACACATTTCACAAGTTGGACACAAGAACTATTTGTTCACTAACACTTTTGGCAATCACAGGCAAGACAAATGTTCAAAAATGAGATTCTACTGTCATGTACAATTTCTTCTAAAATGCTTACATGAAACATGAGTCAAAACTTTCAGCACAACACTGGAGCTAAACCTGTGTTTCCAGGTCTTGAACATTGACAAGGGAGCACAGTGTAGTTTACAAATTTCCCTCTAGTCTCTAGTTCTCTAGTGCCACTTGTGCCTTCTCTGTTTTAATGGAAGGTACCCTGAAGACCACTCTAAAAAGAGAAGCCATATATTCAACACACCACACTTGGAAGTTAGTTCTTGATCCCTCCTCCCTCCTCCCCTACTACATATAGTGGTAAAGATTTTTATGCCAGGGGAATGACAGTGTCTCAAAACATACTTTCATTCAGAAATATTGTCAGCTTAGGCTCAAAGTCAAGCCCTCTGTTTCCTGGAGCCAATTCTGAAGCTGCCAAAGCAGGTTAACTATTTTTAAGCAATCCATTTTAATTGTATTCAAAATGGGCAGGCAGTTTCAGTGTAAGAAAGGGGAGAAGTTGGACATTACCATCATTACGTATTAAAAGATATGATATTTTTCTTGAGATTTATTCCACATGGTTCAAACTTAATTAATTATGATTTGTTTCCAAAATCAGAAACAAAGACTAAAACATATTTCTGACCATCACTCCCTTATATGCACTATTTTCTCTTATTAGAATATAAACTCTTCGAGGGCAGGGACAGTCTTTCTTTTTTGTATTTATATCCCCAGTGCTTAGCATAATGCCTGGCATAGAATAAATATTCAATAAATGCATTTTCATTAATTTTTGACTTAAATTTGTACTGTGGTAGAAATTATGGAATAAATATTACATGGAACAGACATTACACATGAAAATACAGTACAACCTCATATATAAGCACTGACCAGGGCCACATACAAAAATCCAAGTAACTCAAGAAATTTCTCAGGGCCCTTCTCCCATATGCACATAGGGTTGGAGAGGACCTCCCAGCAGAGACAAGACTTAAGAGCTCATGCATTAGGATGTCTCCCTGTAGACAGATAACACCATGGTAGAGAATGCTACATCCCATTAGAGGGAATCACAATCTATATAGGCTGGATGAGTTGGAGGTTTAGATAGGTAGGGAACCGGATAAACGAGGTTGCACTGTGAAGTGAGATGGGAATGAAGAAAAGATAAAAAGAGGGATGGCAAAAGACAGATTTGTAAGAGCTCTTATTCACACTTGGTATCCGTGAAACATGGACTTACTCTCTGGAGGAACCCTATCTTTGTGAGGACATCCGGATAAACTGCGATGATGAGGATAAAGCCCCGTTACATGGCCAGTTCCATCACAGCCTGGGGTTGGACACTTGCTCTCTTTCTTTTCTGTTCTTGAGGGATCTACAAGTGACAACAAGTGTCAAATGAACGCATTTTACTGATTTAAGAGAAATGTGGTTAACTGACAATGTGACATAACATTGAAACACTACCAGTGTTCAGGTTCTAGACCATGGATTGGGTTATCAAGCGTTGACTCTCTATAACTGATTATTTTGAGTGATACATTTGACTCCTTGTATATCTGAAACTGGCGTAGTAATGAGTGACATCACAATGGGGTTCTACTCTCCAAAGAAATGCAGAATATTCCAAACCTACATTTTGCTTGGCACATTTTTTCTTTGTGTTTTATGTGTTAAGCAGTGTTGCTTAAAGGAACATTGCAGAAATGATGATGGAACATGGCCTTCTTAGAGAACACCTCCTCCCTCCCCCTTTAGCATGGTCAATGATCAATTTTTTTTCAAGTATAGACTAAAAAGTGTAAGGTCATACAAAACACTTTTGCAGGATTTCCCCTGCATTGGATGCTACTGCCAAATGTACTGAAAGATGCAAATTTACTATTGTTGAAGTTTATTCTCTTGAGGTTAAGAGACTCAGCTCCTTAGCATACCAATTCAGCCTCTCACTGAAAATGAATTATACTTTCAGAAGGCACTGTAAGCATGTGACAAAAAGGTGGAAATTCCATCTGATAAATACTTTGGGCAATCAAAAGTATTTCAGAAGTCACTGCGGTAATCCCTTGTTCTGACTTCTTAGGTCTTTACTGTGATACTGGAGGAATGATTTGGTAATGCTGTAGATGTATTCATAGTTTTAAGGGGGGTATTGGCTTTTTATAGTCTCATTGGTTTCTCTGTAATACTAGCTTAGACATTTGGTCAAAAACTTAGTATTGAATTCCATAAAGGAAATGGAATTGCTATTGAAAAATTTCCCAACATCAAATCCTTCTTTGTAAATGCTTCTAAAGTGCAGCTCACACAGAAGAGTTTTTCTCAAACAGTTTTCTCAAAGTACATTTTATAGATCTCTTGCTAGTTACTGAAAACCAATTGCCAAGGTCACCAAATAAGCCAGATTTTCCTATAGTTTGGATGTTAAAATTGTGGTCTATGGGAAGATCCAATTAAAATTCCTTAATGCTCTTTGAGGCTAGGTTATTTTTGTATATTGTGGTGTAGGATTCATACTATTTTACTTCTACCATCTCCTCCCAATGTAGTTTAATATTTGTTGGCTAATTTTTGCCTTCTTTCATCTTAATTTATTCATGCTAAATCCCATTTGCCAAAGAACCCAGGAGCTACTGATCCTTTTTATGGTCTTAGAAAGTAGATTTTCAGCTATTGTATAATAAATATCCCTATCTTTTAATTTATTTACTTTGTGGGTGCTGGAATTTTTTCAAATGACATTCGTTTGGTAAAACTTTGTCACAATTGTCGTGTACTTTGCTGTCATCATTTATGGTTTATAACCCAATGACAAACTAGAAATTTATGTATTTTGTATTTTAAAATTGAATGTTTCATTTGTGTATCTTTTATGCATACCACTGAAGCATCTCTATTGAACTTCTCTCTCCATTTCCCATCTCTTAATAAATAAAACATTTTTGCATTAAAAGAAAGTGCTATGGAATAACTGTAAACATTGAATTGATGCAAAGACACAAGTATTGATGACACAGTAACAGACTCAGAAGATATTACTGATTTTCCTAAGTCCTATAACATAGGCAAGTCATGAGATGATAACGGCCCTGAATAAATGGATGAATTGGTCTTGTTTAAGAAATTGGCTAATGCCCACCAAAGTGTATTCTTCCAAACAATTCTATAGTGTTCTGAAAGTATGCCCATACATGAAATAAAATCACATGGCCATAAACCATTTCATTTATTGGAAGACAAAAGGGGCATAGTCTCCTCTCGATGCATGAATGTTGGCTGGATTTGGAAAGTTCTTCCTGTCTTCACCCCTTGCTTTAACCATCACAATATAGTAATTCTATCTGCCTTTCCCTTCACTTATCTCCCCCCAACGCAAAGTCCATTCTGAATAAACTCTGTCTTATATAAAAAAGTGTGTATACTGCATTTGGTTAGCACTTCTTCTAATATCAGTTTTGTGATTCCGACCTTCCATTCTGTTATCAAAACTTTGTAATTCTAATTTTGATAGATCCTAACAGTTTTGGAAATTTGTGTTGAATAAGTCTAAAGCATATAGGTAATACAAGTATAACATTAATTACATACCATGACGATCTAGGTTTTGCCTTTAATAAAGAGCAAACATGTAGTTAGAAATAAAGACTTTTAAAAAATCTACTGTCTGTATCATTGTGGGAATCTGTCAAATGGTGATGATAAAATGATAGTTATCATATCTTTATAAAGAAGAAAAGCAAACAAATAAGAATAACAAAAACATATATCCCTTTAGACTACCCCCAATTAATAGAGAAATTAACTCTAACCCTGCTTGGCTTGGTTTCTTTTCTTTGAAGGATACAACATATACTTGTGGGCATCTTCAAAAGAAACTTGGGAGACAGTGAACAGGATTATATAAAGACTTAACTTTAAAAATCTATCAGAGAGAAAGAATTTGAAGAGGCTGAGGGAAGGTAAGGAGTCATGGCTTCCTCTATCATTTTAAAAGTCCACGTTAGTCTGGTGTTTTTGTCAGTATAGCAAGTCTGAGGAGGAAAGAAATCACATTTCTTGCCCCTCTCCTGCTTAGTTTAAGGAGATAAGATATTTATATTGCACATCTCCAAGTAGAATTCAGTGAATGCTGCCGCTGCTGTTAAAGGGCCTACAGTAGCAACAATAGCAGAAAACCAAAGAAGCTGGAGCAACATAGGATTTGTAAAACAGTAAATCTGACTATTTTTTGGATAGAACTAGAGCATCTCAGAACTGAAAGGGAGTCTTCTCTGCAGGAATGTCCTCTATAATGCCCCAAGAAGTGGTCATCCAAATTCTCCTTGAAGATCCTCAGTGAGAAAGAACCCTCTACTTCCCAAGAAGATCCATTCCCTTTTTAGAGAGCTCTAATTGCTATGAAGCATTTCCTTTAAAAAGACCCTAAATCTGTTTTTGCAACTTCTCCCCATGGCTTCTAGTTCTGCCCTCTGGTGTCAGTGTACTTACTACAACACTGATCAGAGCCTATATTCTTACTATATAATGTTCATTAACTAAAATATGCCTACATGATGCACCGGTCTAACTGGGCAATTATACGGGAGTAAAATACCGTAAGTTGCAAGCCATGTTTATTTTCTGTGTGACTGAAAAAAGGTTCTATAATTCTTAATTAAATGCTTCTAATATATAATGTCAGGATAGTTTATTTATAGTGGTAGCATTATGCTTTTATTATACTTGAAACATATATGGTATAATGCTTATTCTTTAACCCTCCTCCAGTAAAATTTTAATCTTTATTCTTCCACAAGGAAGAATTTTTTATTTTATTTAAAAAATATGCTAACACCCATAATACACAGCACAACTCATGACCACCTGTATATTGGAACAGTAGAATAGTTTCCAAGAATAATAAATGCTTGTTGAAGAGGCCTTCTTGAAACAACTGTCAGAATTTATGCAGCCAATATCTCAAGAACCCTATAGTCAGCTAGTAGGGTATTTAGATGTCTATTTTCTAAAGGTAAAAAGGCTGACTTGGGCCTCAGCCTTATGAATGCCCAAATTGTCACCATTTGGTGACATGCATTACCAGAATCGTGCATACATTGAGAGGAGAATATACACCTATGTCCCTTGGGGAGAAAAAATGAATAATTTTTACTTTGTGATTCAAAATAATGCAACAACCGCCTTTATAATCCAGATTCTTAAATTAGCTGTTCTGAGACAAAGTAAGGCTATTAGTAATTACATTTTAAATTGCCTGAAGATAGAAAAAAACCAACACTTTTCATGGTAAACATGAAGCAAATCATTCAAGTTGAAACCATACCTGTAGAATACTTATATAATTGCAAAGTGTTAAAAGCACACATACACATAAATATGTATATATATATACATATATACATTAACTATTTATCCCTGTACACATATGCATATATCCTCATTTAAATAAATGAAAACACATTTAAAAAGTAACCCATTACACATATTTTTAGTGTGTGGGGTTGGATTATACTTAAGAAAATCACCTTAACAATTTCCACAATGGAATAGAATCAGTGAAGTGGAATGAATATAGGAAAGAAATTGCTATTGATCTCAGCCCAGGCCACACCATGCCTTGCATAGCAAATGGCTTCCATTACCTTACTATCTTAAGATAATTAATGTGCAGTCACTGCCCTTATCTTATGTTATCGGTCATTCTGATACTGTTCAATTTCTATCAGGGAACTTAACGTTTTAGATGGCAGAGGCTTCATCAATAACTGTCATTGATGATAATTTTATAAATCATGATGCCACCTACCCAATCCAATCTGTAAAATATGCACTTCATAGCTGATTGACTATTACATAAAGTCTTGCCATTAAATGTAGTGTGTGATTCTTTTTATAACAGTGCCTTTTTATCATAATTTCACTACTGAGTTTATACTCTTTAGTTCAACACTATATTCCAAAAAATTACTATTTTTTCACAGGAAAAATATTGTCATTTGCTTTTATGTGACATTGAAATGATGTGTATATTTCTCATAAAATATTTTATTTGCTTTTATGAAATAAGCATAACAAGCTATTTGAGAACTACATCAAAGGAATACATATTAAATCTTTAACTTACTGTAATGCATGTCCATGTTAAACTATAAAGAAAGAATTTTATTTTTGCTCACGTCATCATGAGACAACATATGTTAGATAAAATTTTACCTTTACCATAGTATGGCTTTTTGACATGGCTGTCACTGGTTTTAGGCTTTCTCTCCTCCCCAGGAAGTTGTCTTGGAGGCTGCTCTTCAAATGACCTCATATTATCCCTTCTGCCAGCTTCCATCGCCATTTTTTCCCTCATGGCTTTTGCTCTCTCTGTTTCCAAAGCAATAGCTTTCTCAAGAAGGGTTAAATTACCCTTGGTCATATCAAATACTTCTTCAGACCTGTCTGAATTAACAGAGGTGGTGTCATCATCTCTTTCGTGACACCCATCCTCCTTTGCACAACTAGCAAAAGTTCTAGATCTGGGACTTAACTGTTCTTCAAGCCTCATTAAGTTCATCATGTCAGAATAATTCCTATCCGGTGTTCTTCCTGGGAAGTCATCTTCTTGCCTGACATGTTGACGGATGTTCATGTTTTGCTGTTGATTTCTTTCCTGTGGGTTTGTCTCACTGAGTTTCCTAGCAAGATCAAAACATTGGTTTCTTAAGCACTCCAAACTGCTGAGACACACCTCCTCATCACTCTCCTCTACCATTTTTTCCATAAGTCCATTGTTCATAGGCTTCCCTAGCATTACAAAGTTCATGTTTCTGTTATCTTGCTGTGATATATTGTCTGCATAATTTCTGTCATTAATGTTCTCTGAAAGCACTACACCATGTCCTTGTGCTAGTAATTTAAGGGAGTCCACGGTTTCCCTAACAACATCACTGTCTAAGTCTAAACTCAGCTCAGTTTTTCGACCCATGTTTTCATTTTTGTCACTATCATCTTCCAGACTATTTGATGTATTGCTGTTCATTTCTGATTCAGTCCTGGCTCGGTATGCTGCATCCTCGGCAATTTTGCCCAGATTTAACAATGACTTGGCCACCAGTTCATCGTAATTATCATACTCGTCATTATTGTTATCGTCTTTTTCTGTGTCTTGCATTATTCGAGTATTGTGACAATTCATTTGATGATCTTCTGCAAAAAAATTAAAAAAGAAAAAAGGAAAGGAGAAGGAAAAAAGCTAGAAGTTGAATTGTAGTTATATTAGCATGGTCAGAAAAGAAACTACAAGTCAAACACTTTATCATAATTCTAGGACCTTTAAGCCACATTTGTGGTTAGGTTTAAATTGCTGACATTAAGAAAATAGATTACTCTAATGAACACAAGGCCATTTTTAATATTTGCTATGTACCATTAATTTCCTTCATTAATCTTATAATAAACAACAAATACTGTAAATATTTTAGACGTAAAATTTTACTTTTCCTTAAATTTCAAGAATAACTTTTCTTTTTTCCTTTATTTGCAACTTAATCAGATTTATAATAATTAATCATATTACTAAACTTTCTAAGAGCCTATGGGTTTTGTTCATTGCCAGCTCTAAAATGGGTGTAAAGTATAATGGTCTTCCAGTGGTTTATTTCCACGGCAATGCTTTCTACATCTCACTGAGGGAAAGACAAGTTCTTAAGGAACTATCCAGAGTTGTACCCTATCATTCACTACCATGATGAATTCTTAGGCTGAATTCAAAGGCTACCAGACCTATGCAGTCATCACAAATTTGATATTACTGAGACATTATTTTTTATGACACAGTGAAGCAAAGGAAGCTTTGAAGAGAAATTTTGGGATGTAAACCAGGTTTCATATGGATCCCACAAGCATTACAAAGTCAGGTGGGAAAGGGACAGGCAAGGAAGTGGATGCTCAGGAAACAAATACCTATGTAGAACAATATAGTTCCAGAGTGTATCCAAATTCCAATAAAATAATAGGATGGCATTTGTGATCTGATATGCAGTTATGTTTTCTTCATGATCTTCATCTTAAGAAAAATTTTGTAAGAAGATAGAATTATTGCATGAGAGTGCCTGCTGGACCATGAATTCACTCATTTCCTCAAAACTATCTGGGAAACTGATTTTTTAAAAATTCAGATCCCAGGACTCAAACAAAATCCTACTATTTTATCTAAAAATTTTTATCATGAAGCAACATCCTTGAAATCATTGTGATCACTAAACATTACATGGTTCAGTTCAATTCAACAAAATATTTATTTGGTGTCAACTATGCTTAGGGGCCAAAACAGCATAGCTGAATGGTTTGGAATCCATCTTTAGTGCCAGGAAAATCTCATTTCAAGTCCTGCCTCTGACTATACCAGCTATGTGACCACAGGTAAGTCACTTAACCTTTCAGTATCGCAGTCAGTTTTCTATGACTTGTAAGTCACTTATAGATTGCTGGTGGAGGAAGTTTTAATAATGTGAGTTACCTATTCTAGTTAAACCACAAATCTGGACTTAAAAAAAGTCATAACCCCTAATGACTATATATTGACCTTCCTTCCGCCTTCTGAAAATTATTTTGATATGGGGAAAGAAAAAAATAGATTCTATAATATTTAAATCTTAAGATTCTTAGAGTTTGGTTCAGTCAAACCATGCACCAAAATCAGGTGTGAACTCTGCTTTTGTTCTCTTAAGTCAAGTACAGAACAAATTTTGTTTATTGGCATGTTTGTGAAATGAGGATTGTTGGCATTAACACTTCCAGTTAGCTGAGGGTTAGTTCATGTTGGTTCCAGTATTCCCTTTGCTCTTCATCCTCAGAACTGTAAATGATGGAATGAACAGTCTCAACACACAAATGAATCACTTCTGTTTGGGAATGAGATTTTTTTACCAGGAAAACAAACAAACAAACAAACCAAAATCAGAAAATTTTATAGTAATCCTGATTACCCAGTGCATTGAGTCTCCAAATCATTTGTCTCATGCACCTCAATTCACACATCCTTCTAAATATGAGTAAATTAAGCTCAATTACTTAGAATTCACAGGGCAAAAGTAGAAATGGCATTTTTCTAGATCATCCTCATCAGTCCTCACCTCTCTCTTAGAGGGGTAAAAATATCCTCCAAGAGCAGTGAGAAGAAATAAAGATGGCCAATGTAGTTATTTAGAAAGGTAGTGAAAGAACTAATCTCAGAAATAAGCTTGTGACATTTACCTAGAGTTTAGAGATGTAGGAGCAGAAGTAGATTGCAATTTTTAAATTTCTGAAACTCTAAAAGTTATATTCTCCTCTCAATTCATGCACTTTAGTTTTGGATGCGTGGGCTGTGGTTTTGGGGTACCCCTTATGTTAAGCAGCTTGTGCCACGTCCATGCAGCATCTCTTGTCTCTCTGCTTTCTGAATTCTTCTCTGATGTAAAGTTGGTGGAGGTTTTTAAGCCCAAAATTACGGTGCCTATAAAGAATCTACAGGAAGAAGGATCTGAAAGATGTGATTCATGATCACTCAAAACACATACACAGTCTTGAAGCATTGGAAAGTTGAGTTAATGGATAAAGTAAAATAATTTTGATTTTTTTTGCCTTCATGTTTCCTTCACAGATCTGAGTTGGATGAGACCTCAGTGGATGTTCCAATTGCTCACAACTTTGTCGAACCAAGTAGAACAAGTCTGAGCCCTATTTCACATCATAGCTTTTCAAATACTTAAAGATAGCTGATATATCCTCCCTCAACCCCCCAAGTGTTCTTTTTCCAGTCTAAGAATCCCTAGTTCCTATATCAGACCTCATATGATATGAATTCAAAGTGCCTCATTATCCTTATTTCCCTTCTCTGGACATTCTCCAGTTGGTATTGCCCTTCCTAAAATATAGTTCTCAGAACTGACTGCAATGTTCTATATGTGGTCGGAACAGGGCAGAGCACAGCAGAGTAATTAACTCCTTATTCCTAGATATCTCCTTTACTAAACTCCAATATTGCAATAGTTTTCCTGGTCCCTCCTCCTTCCATACATATAAGAGAAGAAAAATGATTAGATTAGTAATGTGATGAGAATAGCCCACTCCTCTCCACCTAAAGACAACATCAACAAACACTAAATACTTATTTGATATTTCTATTTGATAAAACTGAAAAATCCATACTTTGAGTAATATAGTTTTCTTCATTTGGGATATACTGCAGGTACTATCTTAGGGCTATCATTCCAGAAATACAGAGTCCAACAAGGTGGTGAACTGATCACATAGCAAGACAAAGGGACTGCAGATAGACCAGCAAGTAAAGCACTCGTACTCGCCTCTTATAAAATAATTAAAAGAAGGACTTTAGCATGTTGACGAGCTCCACTGTGGAAGATTTCTGGAATGACATGAACAAGAACTCCTCAGGATGGGAGAGTGTGGATGGTTTGTGATTTGCACTGATTGAAGCAGTCATGAAAAGTATGCACTCAAGAATCCACTTATGCATTGAACTAATGTTTTAACCTTCTTCCTAACCTTATTCTCCATGGTTGAATCTTTCAATCCCCTAGATTCCAAACTTTGGAATCACCTTTGATTCTGCCACATTATATTATCTACCACCAAAATAAAGTCCAAGTGTTCTTCCTTCATTTCCCCACTGTTGCAATTTTTAACCAGGTGGATTGTCTCCTCCATGGAGCAGCATAAGCTGAGCTCTGTCAGATGTTCTACTTCACTTCTCCCAAAGGAAATAAAAAAATAAATATTAACCAATGCTTTTCAATTAAGCCTCAAAATAATGTAGATAAGAAAAGACGGTAATGAGAGAGAAATGGGTATTTGTCATACAAGTAGTAGACACTGGCCATGTTTTTCAGTATGCCGTCAAAGGATTAGTGCCTGAAAAAAAATAGGTTGACTGTGAAGAAGGCTAGTGATAGGAAAAGAAAAAAATTCATAAAAACTGCAAATGTAAGTCATTCCACTGGCTTGGCTCATCTTCAACTCACAAAAGCTTGATTCCTGCCATCTGAGGGATCATGACTGACAGCAGTTAATATGTGAATGACTGGTGGAGATGACATGCTTGGCTCTAAATCCTTACAGGCTAATAGATTTTCTGAACCTACCTGTATTTAACTATGTCAGAAATACATTTGGTACAAAGTCAGCTCTTAATTATCTGGACTAATGGAGGGGAACAGTCAGTCAGTCAGTCAACAACCAATTACCTACTGATTACCTACTGTGCATCAGGAATAGTCTTCATAGTTCAGAAATTCTTTGTGTTTACTCTGGAATAAACTCAACGGTTTTATTTTCTTTCGGGTGATTTGCCTTCCCCTTTATGTTTTCTGAGGTTAATAATAACTCAAATTTCCATTCCTGAATACATAGGGTCTGAGTAGGATTAAACATTTCTTTGAGGTAAATGCAAACTCTAATTGCTTGTAATCAAAGTTTTATTTTACTCATACTTTTTGGTGTGTTGATTCTTCAACCAAATCATCAGGATATATTTGTAGTGACACAGTACTTAATAAAACAGTGAATGAATTGGTCCAACCAATCTAAAAAAGTTAGAATTATTGGTAAAACTAAAATATTTATACTCCTCAACCCAAAGAGCCCACTGCTAGGCACTTAATGGAAAGAGATCAAAGACAGAAATAAAGATACCATATATGCCAAAATAATCATATCAGCACTTTTGTGACAGCAAAGACCTGGAAACAAAGTGGTTACCCAATAGTTGGGGAATGACCAAACAAATTATGGGGCAAGATAATAATGAAATATTATTGTGTCTTAAGAAATTAGAACTATAAGGAATTCAGAGAAACATAGAATGCTTGTATGAATTGATGTAAAACAAAGCAAAGCAACACCTGGGAAACAATATAAACATGATTACAACAATGGAAATGAAAAAAAGCCCAAATCAATATAGTTAAACTTTATACTATGAAATGATTACCAACCACGCTTGGCTCCAGAGAAGATGAAAAAATGCACATTTCTCCTTTCACTGGAGAAGTGGAGGAATATGGGTGAGTAATGCTGCCTGTGCTTTCACTCATAGTTGATGTATTAATTGGTTTTAACTGTTCTTTGGTCTAAGGGAAGGCTTATTGGGTACAGGTATATATTTAAAAATGAATGTGATGAAAAAGCAAAGGTCATCAATA